GTCATGCTTTGCGAAAAATATGGGTTTGACTGTAATGGATGTACATTAAATTTGTCCACGACGTTTCAAGCGAGAAGAATGCTCATCAAACACTGAGGCCGTATTCTTTGAATGTCGAAGAGACAAAGGTATGGTTATCGTAACTCTTTTGTTTCTATTCTTACGTAGTTAGTTCTCGAAAATATTTCTATGGATGGCAACATATGTACCCGGCAAATGTTGTGTCTTGCTAAGATGGGTTTGATCTTGATCCCAGATTATTACTTATAAAAATTATTACTGAGCGACGGAGTTAAAAATACACCTAGGTCTTGTTTTGTTTTTTTCCCTAGCAACGCAACTCTGGAAATCACAGAGAGTGGCCAACACCCTTAAGGGGCTGTTTACATGAGCCCGGTTACCCGAGATTCAACGAAGCGTGAGAGGACTTTGGGGTATTGAAATAAGTTTTTATGACACCAAACAAGGACATGCTATTGTTGTGGTGATTATACGAGTAATACGACTTTCAAGATCACTGCTCATTTTAATACCTCAAAATCATCTCACGCTTCGTTGAATCTCGGGTAACCGGGCTCATGTAAACTGCCCCTGAAACGTACATGTTTTTTTGAAATCGGAAGACGATATTGAAATGCTGCGACAAGAAAAGAACTCTATATCCACAAATAATGCTACAAAACATACATTGAAAATTGTAAACGAGTACCGTACATTTTATCTATTGAAGAAAAGTCGATATATTAGCGCAAAACGTAGCGAAGTTTCGTTTTGCGCTAATTCAAGGAAACAAAACGGTTCGTTTTACAATAAAATAAAAAATACGCTTTTTTCCATCCGTTGTGGTGTCTCTAATGCCATCTGTAATGCGACTTTGAATTTTAAATACAACAAGATGCCCACTAGGCATTAAACTCGCATTGCTTGAGTCGAGCTAGGGCTATGACAAAAAAGACGCTTACTCAGGCGTGTGTTTGGGCTTGCCATAGTTGTTCAGCTATGCAACGGAACGGGCGTGAAAACTCGTGAGAACTCGTGAGATTGATTTGAGATTGTATTCAGTTTGATCAGGGAATTCATAGCGATATTAAACAACTTTGGTTCAACATGAAGTTGAAAAGCATGAGAGCAACAGAACACCCCGTTTCGAAAACGCTCGGCATCTTTTAGTGTAGCTACTGTGCTCGGCGTGTGCAGTTGTATGTAAGGTGAGCGTTAAGATAAATATGGCACTTGGAAGCCACATTTTGAAATATCTTGAATTTTTATCGTCTTTTGTCCACAAGAAAACGATGAACGTCATGAACGAATGCACTCAGCAGTGCAGCATGCACGTTAGCTTAGCAACCACGCCTGCGTAGCTCGTGGCTTACAGGTCAGCGCACTTTATCGCACCTTGCGGGTCGCGAAATTCTCGACCATAAAAATATTAATAAGAACGCTTCCCATTTTAAGAACTCGCTTGCGCATTGCGCAATGCGAGTTAATAAGCTAGTAATCTTTTGTCGTTGACGTTGCTTATCTCCCAAGTAGCCAATACTTGTTTTTTTTCTAAAATTTGTTGATGAATATTTTTGAGAATAAAGTATTTTCTACCGTTTTTGAAATTACAAATTTTTATACACGGTAGCATCTCAACCAATCAGATAAGAACCTAATGGTGACCTTCCACGGGAAAACATACGTTAACGCTATTTCGTTCGTTGAAAAATATCGTTCGTTATCCGTTCGTTTGCCGTTCAAACGCTTCAAGCGTTCGTTGAAACGATTTTCGAAATCGTTTATCGTTCGAAATTGCCCGTTCGAACGCATAGAAAAAACGTCGAAAATTGTTCCAAAAGCGTTCATCGGTTTGATGTACCGTTCGTTAAAACGTTTGCCGGAATTTCGTTTAATCTCATTGGACTTGGCTCAACATTAATTGAACATTTGCAACGTTACAACTTTATAGAAGAAGCGCAGAATGTGTTACACAGAAATAATCCTAGAATAGTAGGCTTGTAATGGGGTTATATAATTTTAGCTGAATCAAATGCTATTTCGTGCGCTTCATGATTTCGTCTGAGCGTCATGCAGACATGAAAGGATAAATTACCATATCCATTGCATGCTATTATTTTATTATTAACGTCAAATTTCACGTCAGAAACTCAAATGCAAAAAGCTTTCTTTCCAAAATGTATCGTTTTTTGAACGCCGGTAATGCAATGATTAATACCTGTGCTTTAATATTTCTGTAATCAGTCACGCGCATGCGCAGATGTAACAATCGTTCAAAATGTGACAACACTGGAAGTCGCGAGTATCGTTTTGGCGCTGAAAATGGAAGTGTATAGGTAGGCGAAGTACTGAATTATATTTACTGTATTATTGTAATTTTCTGCAGTAGTTTTCTAATAATATTATTTAGTTTTTAGTTGCATAATGTTTCTGCTTTGTTTGGTGAGACTTAAGGATTGTGATTAGAGTTTTTGATGTGAATACAGCCGCTATACTCCGCCGTGTTTATTTACTTCTAACGGAAGTCACAATCTTAACGCTTTAAAATTTCCGTCCTGCCAAACTGTAATACGTCAAGTATTTTCGTATCGGTACTGGTAGTGGAAGTAGATCTTAACCTCCCTAATGTATGAAAACAGAGAAAACCCGATATTAAAATGAATATTGTATGCTAGCTCGAATATCCGAGATTACGTTTTATTAAATATTTTAATTATATATTACTGCGCAATCATTACTGGGATTGAAATTAAATGTGGATTTTCACGTGTATACATATATAGGTGTGAATATTTGACATACTTGTTAATAGACACTTGAACGAATCCCTGCCAATTAAATTAAATGAACATCGAAACAAACATGCAGTATTTACATCAAAGTAGTTTTGACAGCATGAAAACATGTTTCTACGTTGGTTCGCATTCAAACAAACTTTGCGTATGTGATATTCTGTATTAATGTCAGTTATCATCTGTAAACAACTTGATCCTTGCGCTAATTAATTCAATCGTTTGCGGGTCAAAGAGTAAAAGCAAAAGTATACAATGGAATCTCTTGTGTTTAGTTTAACAAAGAATATGTATCCAGTTGCTGAAATTCAACCAAACTGAGACGGTGATCGATCACATCGCCTTAGCCTATGATATTATTATCGAAGGTCGGCCATTTATCGTCAATCTTCGTTTACAGCTGGTCCCGGTTCACAGCCGTGTTGCATGTTTACGTCTATGTTTACGGCTTCACTCATACATTGATTTTGTCTGTGGGGGCTGAAGGATTCTAACGCTTAACCCGAATCTTGTCGCAGCTCGCAAAATGCATATAAAGTATAAAATAATGTGATTTAGTGAGTATATAGATCTAATAATTCATCTTGCGTCAATCATATCACGCGCATCAAGCCTTCAGGCTTTTATGTTTCCCCGTGGAAGGTCAAAATTATACAACATTAAATAAAATGAAATTTAAAGACACAAAGGTTGATTTTCAATTATAGATGGCCGTGTGTTAAAGTGCCTATATCACTTGTGGGATCTTTACGGATTTAAATAGGGCTTGAAAAATTTGTTGTTCTACAACGTTTTTTGATATAATTAAATAGTTTCGAAAATACGTCGGTTGTGGGGACTGGGACTCAGGAATGATTTGCAAACACGCCGTCTTTTATAATGTAAACATAAAGAGTTTCACTGGCGATATAGTTTGCGCTTTTCAAGAAAAAAAATGCGGGAACGGTGCGTTGTGTATGGCTGTAGCAACTGGGCGAGTTTTTCTCAATATATTTTACGTCTTGGAAGATTGAAATAAAATTACAATTGATTATATTATGTTTGAAAAGAACTCGGTTTTTGAGTCCCAGGCCCTCGAGCACCACGGAGATTTAGGCAAATCGTCATGTTTAGATGTAAATATTTCCGAAACTATTTAACCATATCAAAAAGGGTTGTGGGACTTATAAACTAATTTTTGAAGCTCTATTCAAATCCGTAAAGATCCCACAAGTGATATAAGCACTTTAAGACATTAATTATTTACAAAAATGTGAATACTATGCCGGTTAAGACATCATTAAGATTTCTATTTTCTCTTTTCGATAATGCTCCAAGTAATAGCCCCATTACCTAGAACTGCTTTTTAAAGCATATGTTAGTGTCTGGCTTAGACAAGTGAAGAAGGAGGTAATTAATAATTATCTAGATTACCTTTCATTATTAATAATTATCTAGATTACCTTTCACAATTTTCTAACTGATTCTCTCTCCTAGCCTCTAGGGTGTCCCATGAAAGCTTCTAACAATATCTGAGGGAGTTCTGCAGCAATTATTCGACCAGCTTTGTTTTGAAGCTTTTGCAATTTTGTTTGCAAGGTTTTCGAATAATTATTCCAAACAAGCGCACAATAATGAAAATGAGGTTACACAAAAGCATTATAAATGGTTTTAAACGTATCATCATGCGCAAGGCATTCCTATCCCCTCTGCAGCTTTTTTTTGTCACTTTATCAACTTGATCTTTCCAGGGGATGCATTCATCTACTCAACGTTAATTTGTTGGCTGAAAGACACATATCAACTCCCTTCTCTTATTCAGTTCCCTTTTCTAACTTATCTTGAATCTCGCTTGTGGTAACGCCACTAATTGTAATATTAGTATCATCAGCAAATAAAAGTGCTGCATGGTACCGAAAAATCAAGCCCATTTCGTAAACCATTTATATAAATATATAAAGCAAAAAAGTTGAATTTATATTGTATTATTTTCTAATCTATACAGTTAATGTCTGGGAATTGGCTCTTCTTTGGCCTTTGGTCTTTTATTTTCATTTGACACTAGATATAATACTGATACCTCGGGAAAGTAGCGTGTTTTATTCACCCTCGAACGCTCTTTGCTCAACAACGGCGGTCTCGGGTCAACAAAGCACATGCACTGTTTCCCTAATTCCCTTGGCGTCAGTAAATAAGTGTTTATTCTTTATTTCAGAGACAATCATATCGATTCATGAGCGGATTTGACGACCAACAAAATGAATAATTTCATAAGTTCGCTGGTGTTATATACACTTCTGATGAATCTGTCAAACTCACAAGGCCAAGAAAACACAACCACAATTTGTTATAACTCAACTCTTGAAGGTAATGTCCCATTGTGTTAATACCGCATAAATATCGGAATATTCTGTCACTTCTGTCCAAATGTAAAGCCAGATAATTTTCTATACCACACATGCAAGCGCAGGTCTATCGACGCTTCTGATTCTTAAGCCGCGGTTTCCCGCTATCGATACTTTTGTACAACGAAGATGTATATAATGAATATATAATTATGTTCACCCCAGTTATCGATGCTTAAGACGTCATTGATAGGGAAATGAAATTTATGAAATATGATTCGCATTGCAATAACATTGCTACAAAAGCCTTTTTCAGTAATAACACGAACACTACAAGCTGTCTCAAAAAAACCCGAAAACTAATGAAATCACCCATAACATTGTAATTGTCAGTAATTGTTAATTGTTAGAGTCTGAATACCTAAGCACTCTGTTGGGATAATAATATAATAATAAATACTCGTTGTTCCACGGTCAGCTGATCCATTTCTTTCGAAGCAATAACAAGGCTAATTTAGATTTAATCATAATTTTTATTCACAATTTCAAATTTTTCTTATTTAGCATTTTATAAGTTGCATTAAATCCCCACGGGCTAAAATTCGTGAACACGGCATTCAAATTTTAACAATTAGTGATTTCAATAGTTTTCGGGTTTTTTGAGACACGCTGTATAACATATACAATTTACATAACAGAATATAGGAGCGAGTAGGGAAAAGTGATGCCAGACTTTCCCATTTTTAATTTACATTTACAATATATACCCCAACCGCCCAACGTCGAAAATTGTTTATCTTATCTTGAGAAAGGTCGTATACTCTGAAATACTTTTTAATCAAAAGAAAGTGTTTTGAAATAAAATTACACTGCAACGCGTTAATTTAATATAATTATTGAATACCCATCTAAAGAAGTCGAATACTTATTCTCGTCTGTAGCCTACTTTTCCCATCTATACCCGATGTGCTCGTCACTACTATAGAATTGTTCATATATTCGGCGTATACAATAATTAATACATCATGTCACAACTATATGATGACAAATGCGAAAAACTCACAGAATTGCTATATATAGCAGGATTCTACCGCAAGCAAGGAAAGTTATTCATTATAGCTTATTCTATTGTTTCATTGTTCTACTGCATGTATTGTATTGTTCTGCATAATAATTATTCCGTATGAATATATGCGAAAACTTTTATATCGTTTTTTTATTTAAGCAAACAAAAAATCCCTGTTCTTCGACTCTCGAACAAGAAAACTCATGAGATTCCAGGGCCGAATACACACAAATTTTTCTTATAGCAGAAATAAAATAATTGCATTTTGTTGAGTTGTGGTAAAATGGTGACATTTTTGTCAGATTGTCAATACTGGCAATTTTTGTCAAATAGGCGTTTGATGTTTATGGCATGTCAGACGTTTAATATTGCACCATTCTTGATAGTTCTAGTTCACCTGCTTTATAGACAGATATTTCTATATCTAATTAAAAGCAATTCCGTGTTTTTTCATAGAAATTTTGTTATCATTCGTCATTTTAAAAAAGTGTGCAATTATTCACTATTCCTCAGAGTAACTTTGCTTGTAATATGGCCCGGCATCAAAATCAAAGTAAAGCATTTTCGGTAAGGTAACGGCTAACTAAATAACGAGAACACAAAATTCAGAATTGATGTGGATTGACATGGACGTTGACCAAAAGCAAAATCCATTAAAATTGAAAAATATTTTACCCTAACCCTAACCCTGTCCAAACAAATGTTGGAACAGCGGCCCACACCTACACACCTCTGCCTATTCCAATGCCTGTCCGTAACCCCGTCAGCCATAATCAACGGAACAACTTTTAACTTACATTTGGGAGTGAACTTTAAGGCCCATTTACACTTGCGATTTTTGGAGTGATTTTATGTGCGATTTTCTTCTTTTAACATATATGAGCGAGTAATTAGTTACCAATGCTGTGATGTATAAGAGCTCTTACTTCAACATCAGTAAATAATTTACTCGTTCACATCCATCAAAAGAAGAAAATCGCCCATAAAATCGCACCAAAAATCGTAAGTGTAAACGGGCCTTTACAATTCCGCCAACATGTTCAGGTTTCAGGCTGAATACCACAGTTTGGCAGACTAAGGGCGTTTTGGAAAAGATAGATTGCATATTAGAATGTGCCACGAAACCTTGTTGCAGATCAATTAACTACAAAAAGACTGAGGATAAATCAAACTGCGAAATGTTGCACTATGTGGTGAGCGAGAAGCCTAAAAAGCTGGTGGAAAACACATCCTATGATCATGTTCACCTGGTCAACCCGGAAAAGGTGAGTAAAATCTATTTTCGATGCTATTATATACTGTAAGTCTTGATTTAAGTATGAATTGTGTTCAGGATTCATTTTTTACATTTTGAGATTATATATTTGACAAGAGTTGATAGCCAATAGCGCTGCTATCAGTGCTGCTTTGCCGAATTGCCTTCCCAGACAAGCTTAATAAGGCAAATAAGGGTTGCCCGAAATTTCTCTTTTACGACATGAAAAACGTTTCTTATCATGATTATTTGACTTCTTATTACCATTTTTCTCGCAGGATTTCAATACCATGTGCGAATCTGGAGAAGGTATCTAACTATCCAATATTTAGATGTATTTTTAGATCATTGCCAGATATTGGAGTGGCGCATGTGTATACGTATTGGCATTTTACCCATGCCTAACGGGATAACAACTTTTACTCTAAAGTACATACAGTAAAAGTACAAAACTTAAAATTGCCGTTACCCTGCTACTTCCCCACTGTTTGCCAACCTCTGGATCATTAGAACGGCCGTTTCGCAACGTTTTGACGATCAATTAACTTACCTTGGTTATTTTCTACCTTCCGCGAGCGAACTGACTGTATTCAACACTGTTATTTTCAGGGTGTTATTTTAACACCACTTTTAAGGGATTCTAGGGGTGTAATAGGGGAGTTACAAAATTCCAGCTTAATAACTCCATAGTTGGACTTAAAATAACACCACGTAAGGGGGTTACGCGCAATGTAACACCATTTTGGGGGTTAAAATAAGTACATTATACCACGTGATCAAGCTGATGCAATCATGCAAAACGAGCTATTTTTCAAAACCTTCGCAAGCACTGCTGGTTCCACGGGAGAATTGCCTGTATTTTTAAAGATAAATTACGACTAAAACCGAATTGAACGAGGAAAAGTCAAAGAAAGGTTGGCAGATTTGCTGTATGCAGTTAAAAACGGCAATGTACGTACTTGAATATCATTTTCATGCCTCTCGGAGTGCGACTGTTTACCTGCCGATTGTGGATATAAATTAAACTGCAGTTCGTGAGCTAAATTGTCTGTAATTCTCTGTTGGAAGAAAGTGCACAGTTGCTCAGCCATCCAGGATACAAACACAATTGCGCTGGTGTGTAATATATTTTCAATATTTCAACAGAAAACCTTCAGCAAGTGTCGACAAAATAATTCAATACAAAACTATTAATGTAGGTCGCTAAAAATATCTTGATATGGAACAGTAGACATGAAAAACATTTTTCATATTCTCATAGTCTAAAGGAAAATAAGGACTTATATATGAGTTAAATATATTTAATAATAGGATGAAAAGGTATTATAATTATATATAGTATAATATATCCTAACGTAGGCAACTTCAATCACAATATCGAGATGTACACATGAAAACAATCCGAAAATACGTCAATTAATACCTAAAACTAATCTAAAATAACAAGTGAAATGAAATCTACAATATTTTTACTATATACTGCCTATGTTTTAACTTTGAAAACAAGTTATAGAAGCGAGAAAAATGCGAAGTTTTTGATATTTTACTCATTTTTTAAATGGGCCGTTGCTGGACCCGCGCTGCATGTTGACGTTTGAAAATGACGAATTCGTAATCTCATGAAAGTGATAATTTATTCACATTATTAGTACTAGGGAAATTTACAATAATCAATCATGCATTAAAATTAAGTATAATAGTTCTACAGACTATTTACAAAAACAACTTAACTAGACTACTCGCTAATGTTGGAGTTCCATTCCGACAACGTAATGTCGTTAGTTGATGTGATGGACGCAGTCCTCCAACTTCGACTGCCACGAACACACACCACGCGAGCTCTAAGCAAAGCAAAGGCGATCTTTCGTCGTAACCAGCTAACCACCATAGATGGAGAATGATTCTTCTTGTCAGCCAGCTTCGCACCCAGGAAGGAAAGAAAATGTTGGGTCTCTCTTCCGCATCCGCCAAAGGCGCTGAAGACGACCGGTGTGAAGGAGCCATGCTCGACCTCAACAATCCGTTGGTTGTAATGTCGCTTCTTTTCCCGTTCGTTGGCTTTAAACGAGCTGCTCAACGTCTGGCGTCGATGTGTAGAGGCGTATGGGTTAAACACCCTTACATCAAAAAATGCCTTTTCACATCTCTGCCAGAAACCTCTCGCAGCAATGTCCACTCTGGCGTCATCGGCTGAGTTAGCACTGGATGGAAGAACCTCGCCAGTCAAAGGAGCAAGAGCAGGTTCAATTGAAACATCGTAAGCAACGTCATCGATAGCAGCAGCAAGTAGATCACGGATCTCATTATGTCTTCGATGGATAAAACCTCCTTTCAGGCACGACAGGGCATGATCTACCGTGAACGATTTTCCACAAGCGCAGAAAGATGGAAGGCGTTTCAAAGGCCATCGATAACGCATGTAGATTGCATCAAAGAACTCACGCTTGGTCAAGATGTAGCCCTCTTCAGCAAGTGGCAGAGCAGTTAGCCAAGCTGAGGATCCTTTCAACTGGGCGAGGTCATTTGCTCGAATCTGCTCTTCACTCATGCTCGATCTCAAGTTCTGTAGCAGCAACGAGTTCCTAGCTTGACGTTGTTTTGCAATCTCACGGCGAAGATCGTGGATGGAATCTCCATGTTCTGCTGATGGTGTACCATTCTGGTGGATGATTCTACTTGAGAGAAGATGACAGATGGTTGTGGAGTTCAAATGTTCTTCATCGCAGATGTCGTTAAAGATCGGAATACCAAGACCTCCCATACGAGCTGGAAGCGAAACCAATTGTCGCTCATGGATGGACAAGCTACGGTTATCGAGGAGCGCAGGAAGGAGCTTCAGGTTGATGGTGTCGTCAACAAGCTGCATCGCGGTCTTGATACCTGGAACGGCACGAATGTGGTAAGTAAATCTGTGCCGAAAACCCGAGACAAACGCCGTGTATGCTGCTTGGGGTTGGAATTTGGCAATTTCACTCAAAACGTGAAGTTGCTGGCACCATTTACTAACTAAAGAACTAATATACTTATCTTTTCCGTCATTCGATCCAAGATATCCTCCAAGGTACTTATGCCCTTCACTTGAAATTCGTACATTAGTTCCAGCGAAGATCTCAATGGCAGTCTGCTCCAGGTGTGGCTTCACAATCAACCAGGATTTATCAGCTCGCGGGTAGTAACCAAGACTCGGACCATGCACGGCAATCTTCTCCCACCAGGCACGCAGTTGCATTAGCTTACCTGCCCCACTAAGGTCATCCGCGTACGCAACATGCCTTACATCACTAGCTTCACCAGATTTAATCATGAGCAGGAGTGGAGTAATGGCGACGGCGTATAACGGCATGGCTAACGGATCACCTTGCGTGGTACCTTCAGCTGATGCAATTTCTTTACCACCTTGCACGAACAATCTTGAAGCTGTTACATAACAATTGAACGTATAAACAGCCATTGCAGGACAAATGTACTGAATGTTATGTAACATGATCTTGCGGTTGATGGAATTGAACGCATTGGTGGCGTCTACCAGTAAGACAGCGTCTGTTTCTTCTTCTTCAAAAATCTTCGACATGGCGTGAACAGCAGCCTCGCAGCCTGATTGTTGTCCTGCACATAGCTGCAAGTCTCCTGCGCTATCCATGATTTGTGGTTTAATGGCAAAGACAATTGATTTTCCAATTATCCGTCGTAGAACCTCTCCAATCCCAATCGGTCTGACACCAGGGTTCTTGTCCAGAGGTATTAAGCGACACGCTAAGAAGGTCTCTAAGCTGGTGGTCTGATCTGCTCCGATAACGACCTTCTGGGTTGCAAGTGTTCTCGCCATTAACGCTATTGCGGATCGTAGATCTTTGCCGGCATCTCCATAGTTGCGAGACACCAAAATATGCCGCCATCCAAGTGCGTCAAGACCTGAAGGACCAGCAGCACCTTGAGTCCTCAATGCTGCTTTTGCTATGGCTGCCTCGTCGATGTTGGCGAATAACGATGGATCGACATATGGAATTTCACCATCAATCATGACGGAATGATCCTCAGGTTGTGCAGGTGGATGTTTCTGCAAGAGGTCCTTGTACACAGCGTCATTAAGAGGAAGAACTCCACCACATGATTGTTCATCCAACAAACGTAGAGCTGCGTTCACTTTGCCACGAAACATGAGGCTAGCGAAGGTCTTGGAAAGCTGTTCATTCGAAACCTTTCTAGTAGCCAGTAGTGTCGACTGGATGGTTCTGCATTCCCGAAGTAACCCATCAAAGTTACCTTGTTGCCACAAAGCCATGCGCCGAGACAGACAAGTCACATGGTCTTTCGATCTCGATTTGAAACTCGGTTTTTGTAAGAGAAGAGCAGGCATGATCATAGTAAGTTTTAAAGAAATATCATGCAAGATCTCCGAGTTACTGTTCCAAGCGTTAACAAGTCTCTCCAGTTCCCTGACGTATGACTTTCCAGCAGCTCCACTCGGCAACATAAACAGATTTTTGCGCCAAATAACCACCTCTTCATAGGCTGCGTTAACAACTTGCTTTAGATCGTCTTTAGTGAGGCTGCCCCAAACACATGGTGATCCGCTATTTTGAGAACTTGAGGGAGTAACCGGATCGACAACAATAGAACCAGGCATACTTGATGTTTGTCCATCTTGTTGACTCGCTCCACCAGTTGCGTGTTTTTTCCTGCATGAATTTAAATGTAGCGACCGTCCTCGTTCCGAACCAAATTGTCTCGGGCACAAATTACATTGAAATGCGCGCTCTCCGTCTTTGCTTTCTTGCGGCATAGTTTCTAATTAGCGTGCTTCGTCACCAACCAATTTACCAAATCACGTAGCACGCGGTTAACGGAATAACGTTCGCAAATATAATTTAACGGTCCAAACTCGAGGAATAGCAAAATATTTGCGTAAAAGTTCCAAAAATATATATAATATAACCAATTCGAACTCACAGAATTCACAGTTGAAGTAGCACTGGAAATTATTCACGCTAAAAGCAATGAACGCGTAACCACTCCAATGACCAATGTTCGATGTCCAAATCTTGATAAAGTCACAAAATGCGCGAAAACACCAAGTTAACAAAAAATAACACCAACGTTGTTTTAAAGATATCCTTACTTAAGTAATAACGCAATAATGTTTCTAAAAATTTAGCAGTAATTGTGTAAAAATTTCAAATGTCACGGAGCACTATTTTTTAGCGTCTTTACGCCATAGTGCGCGTGCGTTCCCAATCTCATTGATTCGTAATCGATTCGTAATCTCATTGGCTGTCACAACAGCAAGAATAAAAAACAGCCAATGAGGTTACGAATTCGTCATTTTCAAACGTTCTTAAAAGTCTACAGCGCGGGTCCAGCATCGGCCTATTCCAAAAATAAGTAAAATATCAAAAACTTTTCGCATTTTTCTCGCTTCTATAACTTGTTTTCAAAGTTGAAACATAGGAAGTATATAGTAAAAATATTGTAGATTTCATTTCACTTGTTATTTTAGATTAGTTTTAGGTATTAATTGACGTATTTTCGGATTGTTTTCATGTGTACATCTCGATATTGTGATTGAAGTTGCCTACCTTAGGATATAATTTGTAAAGTTTTTACAATGCATTTGTTTGTTCTTTAAAAGAAAAATGTTTAGATTTCTGATGATTTATCAGGAAACTTTAATATGAAGTTGTATTTATGTTGTAAATATTGTAGATTGGATATAAAGTAATAAAATTTTGCTCAAATTTTTGTATGATTCTTTATTTCTTTCCGGGTATTATAGCGTGATCCTGAAAACGGGGTTATTTTAACCCCAAAATTGGAGTTAAATGTAACCCCAAAATGGGGATTAAAATTTAACTCCAGAAACGGTGTTATTTGTAACCCCAAAAAAAGGATTATTTTCGATTAAATCTCGTAACCCCTGTTTTTGGTGTTAAAATAACACCCTGAAAATAACAGTGAATATAATATATGTGAAGCGAATATTTTGCTATAACAGCCAAGCAGGTGCGGAGCACCGTGCGAGAGTACTATTACCGCTTGGATATTTACACTCACGATGTGTTTATTCACACCCACATAATTATATTCTTTTTTTAATCACATTCGAGGGAAACTCGAATGTGTTCAGGACTTTTTTCGGTTTAAAAAAGTTTTTTTTTAGTTACACAAGACCTAATTTTCGACTGAATATTCCGTATTTAATGAAGTTGGAAGATTTTACAGTTGATAATATTTCACCTGGCACAGCTTTAAATTTTTGCATGTAAGACACAACTCTTTAATATTCTCAAATGTATTTCACTCTAAATCTGAATGTGTTCTGTGATAGACGAAAATTTACTTTCATTTATAAACTCCGTTCTCATAATGACAAAGAGGAAATCATATAGCCAAAACATTAAGGCAAAACGAATTTTACTTAACCACAGATGTCGTTTAAGTGTTCTCGTTTGTCTTTCCAGCGTTCATTTCGTTCTCTATACGAACCAAAGACCATTTGTATTTTCACCACAACGATGAAAATGGCGGGAAATTTTTGAAACCCGCATTATGTCATACCTATAAACGTGACATATAAAAATACGGCACAGTACCCGAGATGTAGTGGCGTATGAGTTCTACGAGTGTTTTAGTTCTGAGTAAAATACCCCCAACCACAGAATACAATTTATAATGTGACTTTTTGATAAAAACCATTATATATTATTAAAATTTTCGTATTCGTTCTAGATGATTGCAAGTTCACAGCAGGCAATTTTTGTCATTGGGTTCCTAACGAATCGCATGGCTACAGATGGAAAACAGTGCCGCGGAAAGATGACACACTGGATTCAGGTCAGCCCCCGGACATACATGCATTTATTATCAATCCGACATGATCCCTTTACTGGAACACACCCCAAATTGGGAGTATGCATAGTATTTAAATATTCATTGTGCGCAACGAAACCTGCAACCATTAATAATATATGATGGCGAAGTAATACAATTTTTATAGCAGCCGTTTTCATTTTCGGTCCTGGGTTTGTGTTTAGGACATTTTTCAGATTATCGTGTTGCTTTCAAACATCCTACCTGGTACCTGATTGCTGTATACTAAAATGTAATAATTGGTTATATTGGGACATACTGTACTCAATCTTTAGATTACTACGTTTTTGCTGAGACAGATAATACAACTGAGTTGCACGTCAAAGCTGTCCTGAGGAGCAAGGAATTTCTCTCCTCGCAATGCCGCTGCATTTCTTGGAAATATCGTTTCGAGGGACAGGAAGCAGGAAACCTTAAATTGTACGTCAAAGATAAACAAGGATATAGAAGAATGATTTGGACTTCAAAAGATGGACTACAGAAAAATAAATGGATTTTCGCGAGTGCAACAATAGCCAATGTTTCTCAAACAAATTACTGGGTTAGTTCTGATTTATATTCTAATGTTCTAAAACTAACACTTTAAAACTAATAATCTGTACATTTACGGGTCGGGGCTGTGTTTTCGATATACTTCGCGTGAAGCCAATTTATTCATTTGTATTTTAGCAATTTGTTTCTGGTTAATTTATCTGAAAACTCTCAAAAAAAAGCAAAATGTCGATTTTTGGGAAAATTATCGCTATTGAAAAATAGTCCTCATAAGGAAAGGGGTCGTCTCCAAATGTTTCGGGTAAAAAATAAAAAAATACAGCCACTTTAAACTGAGATCGAACGATATTAATTAAATCATCCGCAAATCCCAACCGCAAATTTAAACGCTGCATAGCACTTGTGTGCTAAAACTGCAGGTAATGACATAAAAATATTTAAAAGTGCAAAAGCGTGATTGATTTATCCTAAGAACGTCTCGTAAGACTCTTCTTCTTTAGGTCATTAATGGCATAATATCAAATAGCTTGGTTTGCAGGAGTGCCAGGCCAGGAGTGCATCCCATGCACCAAATTTCTTTTGAAGAATCGTCTTATCATGCACATGCAGTTTTTAACCTATCAAATTGCATTTCTCAACTTTAGTATATACGCGGTCAAAAAGTATATTACTAGCTAGCAGAAGAGCTAGAAAAATAGGCAAATATGAAATTCTTTCAGATAAAGAAATAAAATATACTGCTAAAGCTCGATGTTTATTACAAATATGTACTTTTGAATGTCCTTAAAGTTCTTTCATGTCAGGATTTTAATAGTTAGTAGCCAGCGTATTCAATTCAAAAGTTCTGATTTTAAAACAAAGTTTGATTTTAAAAACTATAATATACATGGATTTGTTTTGACTGAAGCTTTATGGCCCATTCTAAACCACACATTTTCCCCTCCATACACGATTGAATGAAAATCCTTTACTTAAAATTAATTACCATTATTGATGTTTAGATTGAATTTGAAACCAAGCATAATTCTTCAAGCTTTTCTAAAATGGCATTGGATAATATATTCTTTGTAAAAAACCCATGCGGTAAGACGTTATATTTTTCAGTGTAATCCGTCATAATGTTTAATTGAAATCCAGGTGCATTTTATTTGCCAGCATTAAAATAAAATTATGGGATTTGCAAAGGTCCATTTAAATTCAGGACAATAAAATAAGAAAATATATATATATATATATATGTAATATAAAAGTTGCTGCTGTTCATGATTGGGAGGTAGTCGGCAGTGCCAGCTAGGGCTTATATTTTGGCGTGTAGTTGGCCAATTCCTGTTTTGATGCTCAATGTTCAGCAATGAATGCGAATTTTTGTAGCGATTAAATTTTAACCTTAAATTCCTCTGAATATATAGGTCTTTGAAGTCAGCTTCAAACTGATTTTGAGAATGCACTGATATTAATGAAACTTTGTTTTCGACCGTCAGGAATTGCACCTATCCAAACTACTAATATTTTTTATATTTTCCTTGTCATTACTCCTGTTGATCAATGAAAATCAGTTAGAATGTCAAATGTGGTATAACAACTGCCAAAAATAGAAAAAAAAACTTCTTGACGTTTCGAACTGAGGGCCTTCGTCAGGAAAGGTATAACATACCACATCACGCTGCTTCCTGGTTATATCAGTTAGCTAGAGTGCATCCATACATGTCCAATACTGTCGCATGCATACGGATCGACAACCTTTTTCACCATTCGTAAACTAAATTTTCGTTTCGTGACACTTTTCACGGATCGATACTGATGGTAAAACGGGACATACAAACGGACTGAACCCCGACTGACGTACGAACCGTACGAATGGAAAAAATCCAGTTACCATTTGTAAACTTATTAACGAGTGCGCTCCTTTGGAGTACGATATCCGCATACACGCACGAAACGACTGTCGATTCGTTCAATCCGTACCAACCGTACGAAAGAAAAACGTTCATATACCAATCGTAAAAAATTCATCACAGCATCGTTTCCGCTATACGTTCAACCCCCTGTGGAGTACGATATCCCCATACACGAAACGACTGTCGATTCGTACCATCCGTACCAACCGTGCGAATGGAAAACGTGCATTTACCAATCGTAAATAACACCGTTTCCGCTATACGCTTAGATCCCTTTTCAGGACGATACCAATACACGAGTTTTTAAAATAACTCGCTAGATATCGCTTCAATATATTTTACCCAAGATATGCGGCCTTATCAATTAAATAGACTATTTACTGATATATAATATTCCTCGTTCTCAAGAAAAACACGAGCAATATATAACATGTTGTTATTAAAAGCCGCAAGGTATATCACTGCAATATATATATAGCGCACAAGATATGCATGCATATCTATCAGTAAAATAGAACACTATATAGGTATATGTAGCATTCCTCGTTCTCAAGACAAAAACGAGCGATATACGCGCATTCTCGATAAAAGCGACCAAACACAAGCATGCTCTATAAAACCTGCATGCATGCAATGTTCCCCTGCATGCAATAACTGTATATGCGTCTACATCACAAAGCTTTACTTTACTAAATACATGCATGCAGCACTCAAGATAACTGCCTGTATTTGCCTGTATATGAGTGTTAATTTTTATATGTAGCTAACATTCCTCGTTCTCAAAAAACCCCAGCAACGATGAAATAGTGCATGTATATTTTTTTAGTAGAAAACTTTCATTTACCAACCGCTATACGCATAGACATAGTCATAGATTCCCTTTGAGTATGAAATCAAAACACGCATTGCTAAAAAACCCCGCTAGATATCACTTCAATGTAATATTATGGTACCCTAGATATTCCTATCAATACAATAGTCTAATTATATATGATATTCCTTCGTTCTCAAGAAAAATACGAGCAATATAACATGCGTTGTTATTAAAATCCGCAGAATGTTAATGCATTATATATAGCACACAACTTCACAAGATATGTCTATTAATAAAATAGAGATGTCTTTAAGTTAAAGACAAAACGTTAGAAATGATTATGTCTTTTTTTAAACTCTGAATTGTTTTGATGGCTTTCATAATTTTCTAATTATGTTGGGCTCTCATATTTATCATAAGAAGTCGTTTTCCGCCTGGCAAATCTCTAGCTACGATATTAAAATAGACTTGTTATATGTAGCTACTATAGCGACGAAACAATCCATTCGACAATGACATAAGGAGGGCGCAGCCGTTATTGAAAAGGAACAGCGTTAATTTAAACGTATGTTTATCACAAATTGTTTTCGATCGACACCTTTTCGGGGACAAACCTTAGTCGCATCACTCGCATGGTGTTAAATTACTTTATTTACAAATGGACAAAAATCTGTTTACCGATCGTAAACGAACAGTCCATTTGATACCAATGGTACGGATCGACAAGCTTTTGAGAGCCCTGTCCTAGACATATCATGCCCTATTTACGAATCGACACAACCTGTTTACGGATCGTAAATGAACTGTCCATTTGATACCAATGGTACGGATCGACAAGCTTTTCCGAGGCCTATCCTAGACACATCTTCCCTATATTTACCAATGAACAAAATCTGTTTACGGATCGTAAACGAACAGTCCATTCGACACCAATGGTACGAATCGACAACTTTTTTAAAGCCCTATCCTAGACACATCTTGTCCTATTTACGAATCGACACACTCTGTTTACGGATCGTAAACGAACAGTCCATTCGATACCAATGGTACTGATCGACAAGCTTTTGAGAGCTCTGTCCTAGACACATCATGCCCTATTTACGAATCGACACACTTTGTTTATGGATCGTAAACGAATTCCATTCGATACCAATGGTACGGATCGACAAGCTTTTGAGAGCCCTGTCCTAGACACATCTTCCCTATATTTACGAATCGACACAGTCTGTTTACGGATCGTAAACGAACCGTCCATTCGACACCAATGGTACGGATCGACAACTTTTTCAGGGCCCTGTCCTAGACACATCATGCCCTATTTACGAATCGACACAGTTTGTTTACGGATCGTAAACGAACAGTCCATTCGATACCAATAGTACGGATCGACAAGCTTTTGAGAACCCTGTCCTAGACACATCATGCCCTATATTTACGAATTGACACGGTCTGTTTACGGATCGTAAACTAACTGTCCATTCGACACCAATGGTACGGATCGACAAGATTTAAAGGGGTCTGTAGATTGGCACATCTCCTTTTTACCAATAGACAAAATCTGTTTAGGGATCGTAAACCAACGGTCCATTTGATACCAATGGTACGGATCGACAATCTCTTCATCGCCTTATCCTATAGACACAACTTGCCCTATTTACAAATGGACACAGTCTGTTTGGGGATACGGCTGTTTACGCCTTAGACACACGCTAGTTTCCATGCCTCATGTTCTAGTCGACAAAATGCGTTTACGAATCGACATAGTCTATTTACGGATCGTAAACTAAAAGTCTATTCGATACCAATGGTGCGAATGGTTGCTTACTTCTAACGAATAGAAAGGCCTAAACCACTTTACCATCCGTATAAAAAATTTTACGAAACGAACGACCCGTATGCTAGCAACAGTATTGGACAACCGCGGTTGAGTTTTAGAATACGCGTTCAGGCGTTCGTAAAAAATCATTATAGTATAACTGTTGGAATTTTTTGTTTCGGTATAGTACGTTCGGCATCTTCAATATGCTGTGAGGTACGTACGATCAACCAGTTAATCTAAAAGCGTTGCGTTCCTCTGTCTATATAGTTGTACAGCGTGTGGGATGCTTTAAAGATCGTAAAAATGAGGTCTTTCCAAAGTTGATTGGGAATTTTCGAAATCAAATTGACTGGAATAATATGGACAAAACTGTCAGGCAATGTTCCTGCGCAGCTCATGAAGGAGGATACAAGGTACAATAAATATACAAAAATAATATTGTCAACCTTTGGGTTTTTTATGCTGGTACATAGTTGCTAATTAAATGTCATATCATTTTAAACAAAACCATGCACTGACACGCCTCAGAAACCCTCTCCGCAAAGGTGAATGCTATTTTATGAATCGTTGAGAGTTTTTATCAGTCAAATATGATAAAAAAGTAAAAAACCTGATTGTTGTGTTGCAAATTTTTGGTATACGTACAAAAGCCTGATGTATGACTGCATGATAAAGTGCCTGGATATGCCTACTTTAACTCTTTACATTGTAAAATGTAATGTATAGGTAGCGATAAATTTAGTTTGATATTCAGAAGAAAAAATAGTTCGAACAGTTTCTCATTTATTGCAATTTTAAATAATTATTCTATTTAGGTTTTTGCTGTGCAATACTACGGAGAATGTTGGGGTTCGCGAGAAATGGTTCAATACGACAAATATGGCCCTTCGAAAGATTGTTGGAAGGAAGTTGGAAAAGAAAACACAAATTTTGTCTATAAATTCGCATAATGATTTATATTACACATCAATTCGTTCAAACGTTGTAAATTAGTGACTATCTAGAAGTTCAAATTAAAATCTTTACTACTTTACTTTAGGGATGACAATTTTAATTTATTCATATATTTTTGGTAGAACTGCATGAAAACCGGATAGTACTATCCACTGAATAATATTTTTTTCAACCGTTCTAAAAATGCTTGAAAAGCAATAAAATTTCAGCTTTGGAACCAAATTTATTAAAGAGGAACCTGATTTTAAGGCTAACAATTGAAAAACAACTATATGCACGGTATATACCCTTACGAGAAAAACACATGCAAACCATATGTGTTTCCCATGTGATTCACATGTGGGTACGTGTGATCACATGTGGTTCACATGTGATCATATGTGATTCACATGTGAATATACGTGGTTATTTGGAGTCTACATGTGAACCACATGTGATGCGCATACCTTACATGGGATACACATGTGAACCACATGTAATGCATATGTGGTTACATGTGATACATATGTGAACCAAATGTGATGCGTATGTAGATACATGGGGAATATCTGTCAACACATATGGTTCATATGTGATCACAAGTACTTCACATGTGAAAATATACCAAGGTATATATGCGGCTCACATGTACAATATCATGGATAGTTAAAAGACTTCAATTATAGTGATTTTGTTAACCAATAATATTGATTTTATTACCCATGGTAATATGAATGTATGGCGTATTTGCTAATCGACATCATAGACAATCCAGAAGATGTCTTGTGGATTCATTTGATTGTCTATATACGCCGACATATAAGGTTATTTACAGTATATCAAAATTCTGCTTCTTATTAAATGCTATAGTTTACAATAAAACAATAATATAACTCAGCCTCGTTGGCTATGAGCTAATAGTAAACTCGCCCTCGTTATAATAATACATTCGCCAAATATTTATAAATCTAAGGCCAATCTCCGACCGGTGTAATAACCCAACGACCGACAAGTGTGACGCCACATTAGGCGAAATCCCTGGGAACGAGGTTGCGCATTCGTTTCAAAATTCAAACTTTTTACAACGACATTCTAGGCGGTTCTACGAGGAGATTGCAATTTTATTTTAATTTTATCTCGAAACTGAGTAACATGTGAATTGCATGTGGCTTCTCCTGATCCACACGTGTTTCACATGTGTTGAAGCACATGTGATTCATATGTGAACCACATGTGATACAACCACATGTGAACCACATGTGATTAAACTGTTCCAATTTCACATGTGAGTCACATGTGATTCCACATGTGGTTTTCACATGTGTTTTTTTCGTAAAGCGTAATCCGGCTTTCATACAACCATCCCCTGGGCAACAGTGTGACATTGTAGTGCAGGTATAATATAATTCATTATAATGAATTCGAAGGCAAAATAACAAGAAGCACCGTGCACGAACATAATTTAACTGGAAAAATTAAGAACAGTAGTATACAATTAATTAATATTACTTGCCATGATTATAAGTGACACTTTTCTATGTAAACATAAATGAAAGTTATTACAAAATTTAACAAATTCAGTTTAACAATCATAACACTGATACTGGTAAGACAAAATTGACTAAGAAGTTACATTCTACAATGCGTATAAGTTTGATACGCCATGCGGAATGTATTTAAAACAATTAGATATTTATTTAGAAATCAATGGTGTTTCTTGCAATCTGATTATTTTTGAGCATTAATTAATCACGTCATTTTTAAGCTAATAAGATCGAAGCTCTAGCTGCACCACAATAACTAATCAAATTTAGTATTTCAGTGTAACTATCCAATCAATTTCCAGGGAAAATGGCACAAAATTTTATTATTTTGAATTTTTAAATGCCCCGCAAAATGTCTTGGCAAAAATAGTTAATTAAATAATAGTTAATAAAATTACTTACATTTTACACCGTTTACGGTTCTTTCAGCAAATAAATCGTTTTATTTGAATTTAATTTTTTTTATGATTTCAGAATGAATATAATAAAGTGGAAATTGCACTTCGGGTCGTGCAATTTTGGTGTGAAATCAAGCTTGCGATTACAAATCTCTTTTCCGTTTCGCGGTCAGGCGATTTTGTAATCACAAGTTTGATTTCAAACCAAATTGCACTCCACTCAGTGCAATTATCATTATTTATTCGATAATCAGTGTAGTAACTATATCTGCATAGGCAATTTGATATTTAAAATAGTGAGATCGACAAAAGTGAACTATACTTTCTATATCCGCTTTGCTGATAATCAATACAGTAACAATATAGCCAATCTCATACTTGACAGGCTGAGGTGAACGTCAATCATATACTTACTCCATCCTATATAATATGCAGTAAATTTGGGCATTTAAGATCTCCATTTTCTGAATACTTCGATTCGTTTGGGATTTGCGAATTACCGTAGTTCACTATGATTTTATTCTCTTTTCATGTCCATTGTTAATCTTCAAGGTCACAGAAGTATACCACCCTTAGTACAAGGTCGGTCAACAACGACGATATATATATAATATATATATATATATAATTAATATAATATATATAATATTATATATATATATATTATATATTATATATATTATATATATATATATATATATATATATATATATATATATATGGTGCCTGAAGGTTACTCTTAGAGGGTGTGCAAGGTCACCATATATTGGCATAACTTGACCAGTGCTTGAGATATCATAAGCCTCCAGGCGCTGAAGCAGCTGGAATCTGCCATCATTCCTGTATCATGTCTCTTGCCCTCTGTAAATAAAAAAAACAAGTTAGAAAGATAAAAAAAAATTGATTGGTTTGCATTGCTAAAACCTAAGAAGACCTAAAATTCATTATTGCAATTAAGAATGTTATGTACGTGTTAAAAATATACTCAAAGACAGGGCCATGCATACATTTATGCCCTTTTAGTCCATATGGTTGAGCCACAGATTGAAAATGTACACACTTTTGCCATTGTAAACATATTTTTAATTTTTAACTAGGCGTGAAATGGTTCTGTAGCGTCAACAAAACCAAAACAGTTAGTCAGTGGTGCACCTTTTCTGTGAATCGCGTAAACTTCGAGTAACTGAAGACTGAGACATCAAGTTGCAATCTAAAATTCGATGGCTGCATGTGGTTGTCGAAATTCCAGCCCAGCATGGTGTTTGTTATCATTCAGAGTTCCGACACTGGTCTACCTAAATGCAGTATCATATCAGACTCAGAGTACCGGCATGGATACACCAGCCGTTTAAGAAGCATACAAAATGCTTCCAAACTGGCCAGGTATTCTTATATATAGGTTTTGTATAAGCACAGGAATATATTGCTTTCTATATAACACGAGAATTTGCCAAACACACTGCTTCGTCAACATCTTCAAGTGAAAATCTTCCGTAAATCGCGTAAGGGAATTCAGGATTTTTTGACTGATATCTATAAAGCCAGAAATTCTTTGTCCGATGAATCACAGATATTATATACGATTTGTATCATATCCCTTACGGTCTTAACATCTTGCATTTTTCCATTTTTTACTATAAGATTATTTTAGTGTACGCTGCAAAGAGCTGCCGTCGCCATTGATCATATGCATAGAGCTTAATGATTTAAATTTCGTTTCCACTTTTTATCGACATTGGCGTTGCCGCAGCCTTTTAAAAGTCGAAGCTTAAGTTCTCTACTCCCGGAGCGGCGCAGAGCGCCTACGAGGATATTAATTCTGCTCGGATATTATAAGAATTACACGCGGAACCCGGGAGAACATTGTCATAGCGGAATCCAAAGTTGTCCAAAATGTATGTCACGGACGGTCGACGTTGGGTGGTTTTGTAAGTTATGCACATGCCGGCATGCGCGATAACCACTGGTAATCAACAGCGTTCTTATTGACTAAAACAAAAAGTTTGTATCTTAATGAGAACGACAACAATTTAACTGTTATTTCGTAAACTCTTTTGTAAAACCGTTTGACGTTTCATAAACATTGTGCAAAATAAAGCGAGAAGAAACAAGATGAAGCAAAGCAGATAGCAAAGAAGAACATGGATACAGTCAAGACAAAGCGGTATGAGAGAAATAACTCATAATCTGCAAGCTTATAAGTGTTTTAAGGGGTGTGTGTTTACTTTGTTTATATCGTATTTGTTTCGCTGTAAGGATAAGCTGTATTTGTATCATTTTTAGCTTGGTATGCCGTTTGTTTGTATAATTTTCAGCTTTTTATACAAACGCATAAACCAACTGTGAAAAGCTATTACACCTTTACTTTCACTTTAAAAGTGTTTTTGAAAGTGTAATTGCATTTTGATATCACAAATAAACTCTAAAAAAGTAAAAATCTACAAAATACACCCTATATAAGTATAAAAGTTTTAGCCCTCGACTGCATATCACAGAATAGAATAACAACTCAGGTTTTTTCTTTGTCTCTGAAGATTTTTACTGTTTTAATCGTTTGAAACTTCAATTTTAAGCCATCACTTAATTGCTGCCATAATATATAATGGAGCAAAATAGAACGGTCAATGTTTACACTAGTTTCTGATTATTTTTGTACTGAATGATGGAAACATTAATACCTATAATATATTCGATGAAATATATTATTATATACCACTTTTCAAAGTTTGGTATTCGTAGCTTTTCATTGGTCGAGAGCGAATCACGCGAGAGTGACGAAATTTTGATGTCGCCAGCGCGACCCCCTGCAGAGTGAGACAACGTGTTATCTCATTGGAATAATAATTTTTATCCATTTGAAATTGTGTCGTTTATGATTAGATATTTCGTTGTTTACCTCGTTGTTTGGTTTTTCTTAAACAACGGTGGTATAATTATAATAAATATGGTATAATCATGTATTACAACAGGTGCATAGGTGGAAGCTAAAATCCGGGGGGGGGGGTGCATATTCATATATTCGTTCTATGTCCGATTGATTTCCTTTGGACACTATTTTTCAAATCATACTTAAAC